TACGATTAATGTATCAAAGTGTAAAGTTCTTTCTTTTAGTAGGAAGCAAAATGTAACACATTATGATTATAGTATCAATGATCACTTACTTGAAAGAACAGAAACGTTCAAAGATTTGGGTGTTGTATTCGATGCCAAGCTGACATTCAAGGATCACATCACTCAAATGGTGAATTCAACGTTTAAGATGCTAGGCTTTTTTGTAAGGAATTGGTCAGGGTTTTCAAACATATCAACTCTAAAGCTTTTATATTTTACATTTATTAGAAGTAAGCTGGAATACGCTTCATTAATTTGGTCTCCAATCTACAACAATTCAAGGGTTAGTATTGAATATGTGCAGCGTAAGGCTTCAAAGTATTTGTATTACAAATGTTATGGCAATTATCCTGAAAGAGGTTTCGCCCATTCTATTTTATTAAACACTTTTGATATAGAGCCATTGCATCTTAGACGCGACATATCAGCGCTACATATTTTGTACAAAATCATACACAATCAAGTTGATTGTTCATTCATAAAGTAAGCTTAACTTTCGTGTGCCTAGGTTGGGAAATCGTGCTCAAATTACTTTCTATCCGGTTATTGGTAATACTAATTTGTTGTCTAGATCTCCGGTAAATATGATTTGTACATGTTTCAATTCTGTTTGCAGTTCCTGTGAGTTAGTTTTTGATAGTGAGAACTTTGTTGTGAAGCGCTACAGAGACTGATACCTTTGTCAGTGAGAGTTTGTTTTTTCTTCTTTCAAGTTTTTTTTTGTGTTTGGCGTTACCGCTGTTGCTAATTATGTAACTTTTCCTTGTATTTTTCTGTAATTGAGTGTTACCTGTTGAAAATAAATAAATAAATAAATAAGAACAATAACGGAACCAAGACCGAGCCTTGAGGACAGCCGCGTTGAATTCGTAAGGTATCTGCAAGAGGTGTGAAAAAACCAAAATAAAGCCCGGACCAAAAGCTTTGTTGATATTATGGTCTTGTGCCTGAACGCTACTTCTCGCATAGTGTAGGGAATCGTTTGAGTCGACGGCACTCGCGACTTGGGAGGACGTCCATGCTGAAGTTGGCAGCAAATATCTTAGCCTCAGACGTCGGTTACAATCGTTCCATCGTGGAAGGTAAGCGGTAAAACGCTACTCTTTGAGAAGCTACGAAATTACCCTGTGTCCAATTTTTTCAACGCGTTGTTCTTTGACATTGCGAACTGCTTCGTTATACAGGGTGGGCCATAAAGGTGTTGGCAATTTCAATATTCAATTAAAAAATAACTAGGTAATATGAAAGAAAAATAAACGTATTTTTAAAAAGTAGAAAGATACTAATTTTTAAGACTTAAGAATAATGACTTCCTTTGGCTGCTGGCACTCTTGGAACCGAAGCTACAGATTTTTTAAAACTTGTTGAAAAGTTGTTCTCGGTATTTTTTTACTTTCCTTAACAATATCCCTCTTCAGCTGCTCTAAATTAGTTGGATTATTCTCGTAGACCACCGATTTGAGGTAGCTCCATAGGAAATAGTCGCATGGAGAAAGATCGGGGCTACGTTCGAAATGAGTTTTCCGGGAAAGACATTTTTCAGCAGCTCTATAGACACTAGCTGTATGACATGTACCTATCCCCATCTTGTCGAAACCACATTCTAGAGGTATTCTTGCAAACCTGGCACCAAAAAGTCTGTAATCATACTGCAATAATTGTTAGCTGTAACTGCCATCGTTTGCCCTCTTTCGTCCTCAAAAAAGTACGGTCCAATAACACCGGTTGACGTAATTCCAGCCCGCACGACTAGTTTAGGGCTGTGAAGTGAACGTTCATGCAAGCGTCGAGGATTAGTTTCGGAGCAGAACCGACAATTTTGTTTGTTAACATGGCCATTGAGATGAAAATTGGCCTCATCACTACACATCACGATGTTAAAACTGTTGAATCGGTCGAGCATCAAATTGACAAAGTTAAGTCGGCTATTGGCATCATCTGGTTTTAATTCTTGGACTAGTTGAATCTTATAAGCCTTCAGATGCAAATCACGCTTCAAAATTCGACTGTGTACGTGTCGACTGTTGCGAATTTTGATTTACTGGAAGACGGACAAGCTCTACATTGTTGCTACTGTCGAGCCGGTTGTTTTGAACATTCTGATCCATTTCCGTATTACATTGGCGCTTGAAACTTCTCTTAAATCGCGTAAACCGTGTTCATGTCGATACACAGGTCGTGCAGTAATAACCGATTCATTGTTTTCATAATACCCTTGGACACAAAATGCACGCTGCGCTCCCGTGTACGGTTCCATGGCGACTAGATTTCCAGGCAACGGTGCGGCTAACAGCTTATGCCTCCCACCTCCCGCCTCCCCCAACCCGCGCCCGTGGTTCCGAGAAATTTAAGATTTAAATCGCCAACGCTCTTATGGCACGCCCTGTATTTGTCTCTGGACTCGAAGTCGGCTTCTCTATTCTTTACAGTGGGGTTTTGCAAGAAGCTTCTGTTTGCCTTGATCTTCTGCCGACGAGTAGTGTCGCACGATTTAGACACTGGTTTGGGCAGTTTCACTACATGAGGGATATCCATACATCTTCGCATCTCCCCATGTACACCTTTTGTTACAGTATTTGACTATTTCTGATAATATTTGCAATTCGCGGATTGGCAGATCGTAATAAACCCTAATCAAAATTATTAGAGTGTATCCGGCAATTGAAGCAAGAATCCAAGATGTGATTCCTTTGTCAATTCCACGGTTGTTTTTTTTTTGTGATTTTCGAATAACTGCTTCCAGGGACGTGTTAAGTCCTGCATAAATTGGACAGGGGAGGGTACTTGAACATTTTTTTGAAATCCTTTTGATCTTTGAGTAGCTGGAGGCTTTTCTTCATCAGGCCGGAGCATCAGACACGTGCTAATTGTGCATGTCGTCAAAGGCGAGTCTGGTTTGGTAGAAACCTCTGATAATGCGCTTTGATAAATGGCTAATGCCTTATTTTAGATAGTGCAGGCCTCATCCTAAGGGTTCATTGCTGCTGTCCATAATGAGGATTAGTAGTGGAAAAAATTGTGCGTGTATCTCTGACGTTCCTATCTCTTCTAGTGTCAAAGCCCGCAGTTCGTCTTCACGGCGCGGGTCATATCAACTCCTATATATACCAAGTGACATATAAATCCGAACACCCAGTTTAAATGGTTTTATTTCAATACAATTTTGTATAAGTACTTAATGAAGCATAATAAGTAAATGATAAAAATTTCAAAATGATTGCACTGCTTTAAAGCCCTTCGACCTTTAATGATGTGCTACGCATTCTCCAACGCGCCTAGGCATGCTTCTGATCAGGTGGTCAATGTCCTCCTGTGGTATCTCATTCCAGGCAACCTCCAACTCCTCGCGAAGTGCTTCTAGAGTCTGAGGAGCACGTTGCAAATTGAGCAATCTCCTACCCATCATATCCCACACGTGCTCAATTGGCGATAAGTCGGGAGATCTTGGTGGCCAAGGTAACAATGTGACATCACAATGTTGAAAGAAGTCTATTGTGACTCTTGCAACATGTGGTCGGGCATTATCTTGTTGGAAAGTTGGATCTGCCAGGGTGTCAAGATAGGGTAAAAGATGGGGTTCTAGAACTTCGTGGATATAACGCTGCGCGTTCACGTTACCTCTGATGAAGATTAAAGGTGACCTGGAACAATAAGCTATAGCACCCCAAACCATAACTCCAACAGTGTGATGAACATGTCTTTCAACAAAAAACTGTGGATTCCTCCTTTCACCACGTCGCCTTCTAACCCTGGCACGACCATCGTGCATGCCTAAACAAAATCGAGACTCGTCACTAAAGACAATACTGTTCCATTCCTGATCCCAGAGTGACCGTTGCCTGCACCATTCAAGGCGATTACGTCGGTGTTCTCGAGTTAAAGGGAGGACCCAGTGTGGCCGGTATGAAAACAAGCCAAAACTTCTCATTCGGCGGTAAACACTTCGCATGCCAATAGGTCTTCCGTTTTCTGCAAACCATTCATTTGCAATGGACCTGGTAGTGGAGAAACGGTCCCTTAAGGCCAATAATCTTAGGCGGCGATCTTCACGGTCTGTTGTTCTACGGCGGCGTCCAGTGCCCCTTGCTCTTTGCGTACGGCCTTCTCGAAGCCATGCCTGACAACACCTAACCACAGTGTCTACACTTCTTTGCACTCTAACTGCAATTGCCCGAAAAGAAAGTCCAGCTTCCCGAAGTCCCACTATACGGCCCCTAAGTTGACGAAATCGTACGGGTCTCCGTACTCTTGGCATCGTAACCGATCGTAAAGGATGTCAAGAACCAAAATCCGCCAACGTTGATTCTTTACTTCGGCTGAAATATTCATTTTTAGAGCGTTAGTGAATTAAAAAAAAGCAGTATAAAAACCGGAATGTCCAACTGATAAGGCTGAAAATTTTTTCACTTGTTATTTACAGTAAGATTCATTCATTCACCAACTTTTATTAAAATAAAACCATTTAAACTGGGTGTTCGGATTTATATGTCACTTAGTATACATTAATAGCTATAGTTGTAGTCACCACCGTTCATGGCGGTTACGTCATCATCGCCTTATGAAATAAGTAAACAGATCGAGTCTCCGTACCATGGGTGGATCTTAATTTCTGCTACTCTCTCCGGTACGCATGAATTGGGTAATATGGGACCTGCGCTTTCTTTCTCTTCCTCGAAATTTAAAGCGAGTTGCATAACTTGTTTATAGGCTAAAGAAAAGCCACTATTAACTCCACTACAAAAGAAAAATCGGCTTAGATGGACTAAAGAACATAGACACCTCAACAATGGTCTGCAATGCAATGGAGTGATAAGGCCCGATTCGAAGTTTGTGTTGGTGACAGTCGCAGTAGAGTTATTCGCAAAAAAAAATGAAGCATTCCATGTTGACTGACGGAAGAGAAAAGTGAAATTTCCAGCATCCATTATGGTCTGGGGCAGTATGTCATCAAAAGGAGTAGGAAAACTTCATTTTATTGTTGGAAATGTGGAAATGTGGAAATGTGGAAATGTGGTTTCTAGCAGTCCAGATCTGTCACCTATTGAAACTTTGTGGCACGAGATGAAAAAGGTTCTACGACAATATCCTGCTCATACAATCACCGAACTGAGACAAAAGCGTCCAGAAATATGGGATTGTTTTACACCAAATTTTTGCTAAAACTGGGTTAACACTATGCCACAAAGAATTTCAGCCGTAATAAAAAATAAAGGTGATGTTACCCAATGGTAATCTTTCAATTGTTGCTTTGTTGACTTCGCGTACTACTGGTAGTCTTACTTTGACCCGCCAAGAACGGTGACTACAACTATACCATTAGTCATCAATCTGTTTATGGTTATTATAAAAAGATAATTGAGTTTTTTTAAACTAAAACAGAAGCGTAGGCTGAAGCTTAAATACCGGAGCACCAGAGCTGCTATAAGGGGCTTGAAGACACATTGCTCATGTAATGTTTGGAATTTCTAAGGTTAATGAAACTGCCTGATTAGGCCATTCGGAATGGGAAGAACATTATTTCTATACAAAAGTTAAAAATGTATGTTTGTTATGTTTGTAATACATCTATTTAAAAAAAAACTGTACATTCGAATTTTGAAAAATCATTCCCATTACATTCTGCAACCAGAACGGAAAAAATGAAACAAACAAGAAATCAGTTAGATGGACAACAGGCAATGTTCTTAAAAACAATCGACAGAAGTAGGGCTACAACTAAAGCATCGTACCGGGTGTCCTAGATAATTACACAAAAGAAGAAACCTTATGAAGACGGGGAAATGATAAAACAGGCGTTTTTAGAAGCTACAGATTTATTATTTGCCAACTTTATAAATAAAGACGAGATAGTGTCTGCTATGAAATCTATGTAACTTTCTGCTAATACAGTGATGAACAACGAGCAATGATATAGTTCTATGGTTAAGAAATGACTTCGATAGTTGTGCTTATCTTTCACCGCAGCTGGATGAATCCGCAGATGTCGTTGACACTTCTCAGATGGCCGTATTCGTCAGGATGGCCTCTAGTGATTTTACGATTAAAGAAGATCTTTTGAGGTTTATTCCAATATCGAAAACGGTAGGCTTGACAACCGATGGCGCTCCAGCTATGGTGGGTCGTAAAGATGGAATTCCTCTGTTACCACTGCATTATTCGTCAGCAAGCATTATGTGGACATTTTCTAAAACTAAACAACGTTATGAAATTGGTAGTAAAAATTGTGAACAACGGGGAAATACTTCTTTACTCTGAAGTCCGATGGTTAAGTAGGGGACGAGTGATGAAACGTTTTAATGATGACATATCTTCAATAGTTCAACTTTTCAAACAACGTGATGAACCGATTCCGGAACTGAAAAACTCAATCTGGCTTGGTGATTTTTGTTTTCTTGTGACAAACAACTGGCAGAAATGATTTCGTTCATCAAAAGCCTTGATTTTTGGGAACACAACTTAAATCGATGGCGATTCCAGGCATTTTCCTGTTCTTTCAGAAAGGATATCTCAAAGTTCATTAAAACCATATGACACTAAATATCATGTAGAAATAGTTTCTAGCTTAAAGGATAACTTCAAAAATCGTTTCAACGATTCCAACGAAATTGCTATAGTGGCACAATTTGTTGTTTCACCCTTCATCGAAATTAATAATCAAGACTTTGCAAATTCTGTTTCGCAGCATTTTATCGAAGACATCGGTGCGACAGAAATGGAACTGTTTCAAAATGATTTAGCTTTAAAATCATTAGTCGCAAATACAAAATGTATCTGGCCTTGAGTAAGTAAAGATAAATATTTAGTTTTATGTCGCGTTGCATTGAAAGTGAAAGCGTTATTTAGTTCAACCTATCTGTGTGAGTCTTCTTTTTCAAACATGAAGTTTATTAAAAACACATACCGACTTACAGATGAACATGTATTCCAATGGCGGTATCAAATTATACTCCAAACATAAAAAAAATGTCAGTGAGTCTGAGTGTCAGGCTTCTCATTGAACACGCATTTTTTTTCTGGACATGTTTTTGTTTAGAATAGTGCTTTGCTTTTTTTAATTTTTGGTTACGTTTATTAAATCGTATGTGACATGCCATTGTAGCTGACGAAAAACTTTGTTCATTTTTCAAAAACCTAAGATTGGTACGAAGGGTTGTAGTTATGTAATATGTATTAGTTATTATTATTATTATATGGATTTCTCAAAGGCCTTCGATAAGATTAGTCACCAAAGAATCATAGGTAAACTTCAGCATTTTGGTTTTAGCAATCATTTATTAGATTTCATTTCTTCTTACTTGCATGATAGAAATCAGTACGTTTCTTACAATGGTTTCAAATCTTCACCTTACTCTGCCTCATCCGGCGTACCGCAGGGATCAAATTTGGGGCCTCGTCTCTTTATTTTATCAATGACCTCCCTAACTGCTTAACCTGTCCTTCTCTGTTGTTTGCCGATGATTTGAAAATATATGCTCAGATTAACAGCATTAATCACTGTCAAATCTTGCAAGCTTACCTGAATCATATATTTGAATCCAATAGTTTTCGATTACCCACTGGAAGGTGTCAGTTTGATGCGTTGTTCATAAGTAAGAAATCTAGTTGTGTTGTTTGATCATAAATTAGAATTTAGAGGTCATATTAGTACAATAGTATCATCCGCTATAAAAATTCTCGTTTTTTATAAAAAACTGTAAATCGTTTGGTAGTAAAACGGCACTGAAGGCTTTATACTGCACCTTGGTGCGTTCTAAGCTGGAATATGCATCTAGTGTATGGCATCCATATTACCAAATCTATACTAATAAAATTGAAAGTGTACAGAGGAGATTTCTTAAATACTTGACTTTCAAATTAGATGGTGTTTATCCCAATCGTGGGACTACCCAATCAGCGATGTTGCTCAGATTTGAAATGGATCCTCTTGAGCTGAGAAGAGTTTGTAAAAGTTTAAAATTCCTTTACGAACACGTATGCAGTGATGATTCTTCAGCTTTATTAGCTAAAATTGATTTTCATGTACCGTCCCGCATTTTCCGAAGATTTCTCACTTTTACTTAAAAACACCAAATTCTAATGTTATGAGTCACCCGTGTACTTTATGTGCTCCAGCTTTAACACCATAGCTGATAATTGTGACATTCATCATGATAAGGTCAAAGATATATTAGCTGTATTTAGCGACTACTATTATTCAATTTATAACATTTAAGACATGTAGGGGAGTCGGTGTAGCTATTCATTTTTTTTTCTTTCATTTTCTTTTTCAGCAACTGGGCGAGCTATGATTGTAGTTAAAAATACTGTAACGTCAAATTGTATTCAATTATGTTTTCCTTTAAATGAATGTATCTGTTGGGGAATAAATATATTATTAGTTCATTTAAGTTTATTAGTATGTATTAGGATTAGTACGTGTATGTCGCATACAACTGTGTTTAATTTCATTTAAGTTGGCTTACATTGCTTACGACTAGGTAGCTCACTGTTTATTCTAAAATTATCAAAGTAGCTCAACACACTGAATAGGCTAGCGACCACTGGTCTAGGGACAAATGAGCAGGCAGACAGGCTCAGCGCGTGGCAGCATCATGGTAGAATCAAGTTGACATAGCGGTTGGAAATAGTCACATCCACTGCTCTCCTTTGTATAAGTAGGGCCCCAAATACCCATATTACAACAAAGATACTTCAAAAATCACCTGGCGTAGCTAAAAAATCTCATTTTTCCATTTGCGTCTGAACACTAAATTAGTAGCCTTGGCGACAGGATGGAAAATAAGCATCTGCTTCATACCCGAAACATGGATATAAATCTGATACAATATCTAGATTGATTTGAAAGAAATTAAATGCGCATTTTATTGAAAATAACAGTATCACCAAATCTGAAGATAAAATAGTTCGAACAGCCTGTGCCATGCAAACTTTTTTGATATTGTTACCTACTAAATATGTTCATGAATATTTCTGACAACATTTTGTAATTCCAAGTAAAAACCAACAATCCTGAATTAATGGGTGATTTTTTTGCTAGTATCTTCTTGGCAACACTGTTTTTGACAGATGACGCGTGAATCGTGTCTTGTGTCATTGTCAAACTTGTTCAGTTTGGTCTATAATTTAACCAAGAATCGACTTACGAACGAACAACGCTTGCAAATTATTGAATTTTACTATCAAAATTCATGCTCGGTTAAGAGAGTGCATCGAGCACTGCTTCCAATTTATGGGCAATTTGGTCGGCCTACTGAGGGAGCTAGTCGGAAGCTTGTGACTAAATTTCTAACCCAGTTTACATTATTGGACATTAAACCACCAACACGCAGACGTAGAGTGAGGACTGAAGAAAATATTGCGGCTGTATCCGCCAGTGTTAGTGATGACCGTGAAATGTCGATTCGCCGCCGTTCGCAGCAATTGGGCCTCTGTTATTCCGCTACGTGGAAAATTTTGCGACAGGATTTGGGTGTAAAACCTTATAAGATACAGCTGGTGCAAGAATTGAAGCCACACGACCTCCCACAACGTTTCCAATTTGGTGAATGGGCGCTGGCAAAGTTGGAGGAAGATCCACATTTTTATCGAAAAATTGTGTTCAGCGACGAAGCTCATTTCTGGTTGAATGGGTACGTTAACAAGCAAAATTGCCACATCTGGAGTGAAGACCAGCCAGAAGCATTGCAAGAGCTATCAATGCATCCCGAAAAAATCACTGTTTGGTGTGGATTATGGGCCGGTGGCATCATCGGGCCGTACTTCTTCAAAGACGACAATGGCCGGAACGTAACTGTGAATGGCGAGCGCTACCGTGCGATGATAGCAAACTTTTTGTTGCCCAAAATGGAAGAGCTGGACTTGGCTGACATGTGGTTCCAACAAGACGGTGCCACATGCCACACCGCACACGAAACAATGGCCCTATTGAGAGGCGAGTTCGGTGAACAGTCACACGTCAATTGGCCGCCTAGATCGTGTGATTTAACGCCGTTGGACTATTTCTTGTGGGGCCATGTTAAGGCTAATGTCTACAGAGATAAACCAGCAACGATTGACGCACTGGAAGCCAATATTGACGCATTTATTCGTGAGATACCGGCCGATATGTTGGAGAGACTGTGCCAAAATTGGACCTTGCGCATGGGCCATCTAAAGCGGAGCCGCGGCCAACATTTACATGAAATAATCTTTGAACATTAAATTATATCGACCGTTCTATCGACTCAAATAAAGATTTGATTGTTTTTTCAAATTATTTG